TCGCTGCAAGTTCGAGACCAGCCTGGGCTACAAAGTGAGCTCAAGGCCAGCCTGAACTGTATATGAGACCCTGTCTCAAAACAGACCAAAAAAAAAGAATTCTTTGTAGCCCAGAAACTTGTGGTGATCCTCCTGCCTCAGCCTCCAGGTGCTGGGATTACAGGTGTGCTTTTAAAACACACACACACGTTTTTTGAGATCTCAAGATTTTCAACAGTCAAAGAATTCCAAGACCATTGTCCTATGGACTTTGTCCTGCATTTTTGTGGCATGGGAGAAAGAACCATAGGCGGCATGGCTCATCATAGTGATAGCGAAACACCAACCAGCCAGCTGCCGCGAGCTGCCCAGTGCTTTACAAAGGGAGCTCTATCGAATGCCCAGGAAGCGAATGCTGTCATAACCTCCACCTTCCAGTTACAATGTCTGAGAAGTTACGGACTTGCCCAGCGTCACAGAGGTGGTGGCAGAGGACCGTGCTCTTTCTGTAAAATGATATCCGTGGCCCCCAGCTTTGTGGCTCAGGGTCCTACGAGCAAAATGCTACCTCAGGAAGCAGAGGGAATCGTGCCTAGGTAAGCGGGGAGGGTAGGGAGGCTCTAAAGTCCAGCAAGACAATGTCCCAACCGCAGTGCGAGACCTCAGAGGTGAGGCGCTGGTCGGGCTTCCCAGCACCCCAGGCCTTCCCAGGGTCTTCGCTGCCAGAGTCCCAGTGTGCAGCTGCCCTGAGGGCGGGGCAGTCCCGGCCAGCAATCCCAGCCACAGTGCTGCCAGAAAGCTGGGCAGGCCGGATGAGGTGGCGCACTCCCGTAATCCCAGCACTCGGGAGGCTGAGGCAGGAGGATCACTGTGAGTGCGAGGCCAGCCTGGGCTACATAAGTGAACTCAAGGCCAGCCTGGGCTACATAAGTGAACTCAAGGCCAGTCTGGACTACATAGTGAGACCCTGTCTCAGAAACAAAACAAACAAAAAAGAAAGCTGGCCACTCTGTAGCCAGAGGCAGAGGAGGCCGCTGTCCTGGGGCATTCTGCTTCAAAGGACTTTTCCCAGTCTGGTTTTGTCGTCTGCCTGGTCTGAGTCCTCTGACTCTGAAGACACAGCTGCCTGCAATCCACCCAGCTATGTCAGCGTCCTTGGGTACTGGTGACTGCTTCCTAGGGGATGGAATGCCCCCAGCCATGCTTTTGCACAAGCATCCTGGTGTGACGTTTGTACACAGAGTGGCTTATCAGCAAGATGCACCGCCCTCTGGTTCACGCTGCCCGTTTCTCTTGGAGAATAAAGCTCAGTGTAATCCATACACTATGCGGGGTTTGGTTTGTTTGGAACTGCGATGCGGCTGTCTGTTGTTGGAAATGAGAAACCAGAACTCAGGAGGCCGAGACCTCCCCTGCCCTCAAAACGCGTCGAAGCTTATCCTTCAGTTGTCCTCTCTGAGAGAAGCATTGTGACAAGCACTGACTTTAAGTGTCTGTGGGCATCTCTAATAAAAGAGATGACTCAGTCTATTCACAAAACACTTAAAATCCAGGTTCTCTTGCTGAAACCCATGGTATCAGGTCTCGCCTGTTAGTTTTGTTTGCTTGTTTTGAGACAGGGTCTCACTATGTAGCCCAGGCTGGCCTTGAACTTGCAGTGATCCTTCTGCCTCAGCCTCCTGAGTGCTGGGATGGCAGGCGTGCACCATCCTACCTGGCTTTGTCTGCTTAGTTTTAAACTAATGATTTAAAGCACAGTTTACCTGTTCCTCTGAAGAATTTAACTTAGAAAAGAATTACAGTTGGAGATAACTGTTCACAGCTGCTTGATGATAATTCAGTTTCAAAAAACATAACAGGAGGTACAATCGTGCATTATAATAGCTTTCAGCTTACGGTGAAATCCAAACGGGAAAATTCAAGCAAACGAGGAATCGGTCCTCGTGAAGAGCCGTCTTCAGCCAAGACTCCAGGCACCGTGTGTTGTCGGTGTTAGCAGAGGCTGACTTCTCCTCTGCTCCTCTCTTCAGCTCTGGGGTGGCGAGGTGGGGAGGAGAGGGCTGCCTCTCCAGCAGGACAGGAGCTCCCCGCAGAGCTGTGTGACTCTGCCTTCCCTGGCTCGCGCTAAGGAGACTCGCAGAGCTGACAGTGGGGCCTGGAGCCGCCAGGCCAGAGCCCTCGAAGGACGTGAGAGAGAAATCTTTGCCCGTGCCTCACCAGTCCCCTGTCCCAGCAGAGTCATATCCCATCGTCTGCCCGGCGTGCCGATCACCAGCCCAGTCAGCTGCTGTTGCCCGCCCCCGTGCCCTGGACACAGACTGAGAGTGAATGGCAGGAAAGGCTGGAAACCAGCTGCGGGGGTCGGGGGGGGGTGGGGAGCAGCGGCGGGAAGGGTGTGGTCCTGGCGGGGCGTGTGAAGGGAAGCAGGTAGAAGGTAAGGTGGCGTCAGGTCTGTAGCAAGAGACCAGTGAAGACTAACGTGGTCTGATTAGGGACAGTGGGGCCGATGAGCGCTCCTGGCTGGAAAGGCCAGGAGATGGTGGTCGGGGCACCGTCGGGGGAGGCACCCACTTTGGGCGCACAGGGTCTGGGCAGAGATGGCACCTGCTTGGAGGAGCAGCTCCCAGCACAGGCCTGAGCAGAGGCCGGGCTTGTCTGTTGGCTCGCATGGGGTCGTCCGTCCAGCATCCTCACTCTCCTTCTCCTGCCTGGCACAGCCCCGATCTCCAGCTGAGTGACAACGTGCTTGGCCACCATATTGGGGACCTGATGGCCCTGTGGTGTTGAGCAGAAGTTTCTGTGAGAGGCGACAGACCAGCGACACTTTGCTCGCTTTGCCCCTCCTCCCTGCCTCTTGGACCTGCCCTGTGGTGGCTGGCGCTCTGGCTGCCCTGTTGGGCCATGAAGTCACCTGAACAATGACAGCCTCATGCTGAGGGCAGCAGGTCAGAGACGGGAGAAGCCTGCAATCTGGGGGCGCCGTGGGTCCCACACCGGGCGCAGCCCAGCCTCTCTCATCATGAGACCATGACAGGCTTCCGTTTTGTGGAAACTAGGGTGACCTGCCGGTTCACTTGGGACATCTCAGGCCTGGAAGTCTTGGGGCGGCTCTGACTGAGGAGTGAAAGGCGAGGGGGTCAGGTTTGTTTGACTTCAATAAGCTGAACGTCAGAGTGCAGCCTCTGCCCAGCCAGGAAAGGGATCGAGCAAGGAGCTATGTGCTGGTGTTGTTGTTATTATTATTCTTATTTCGGTCTTTTGAGACAGGGTCTCACCATGTAGTCCAGGCTGTCCTTGAACTCACTATGTAACCTAGAGTGGTGTAGATCTCATAATCCTCCTGCCTCAGCCTCCTGTCTGCTGGGACCACAGGCGTGCCCCACCACACCTGGCTTTGTGGTATGTATTTGTTTAGCTTAAACAAAAAGAGGCTCAGGGCCAGGATGTAGCTCAGGGGTCAAGAGTTTGCCTGGCAAATGCGCCAAGGCCCTGGGCTCTGGCTCCAGCACCAAAGGGGTGGAGCGTTTTATTGTCTCACATCTTTGAGGCCAGGTGGCTTTCAGCTAAATTGCTGATTGATACAGCAACTGGGTCAGTCAGCGGAAACCCAGTGTCTGTCTCTTCTTAATCTACAATGGTGCTAACTTTGGCCAGGCATGGTGGTATGTGCGTGTAGTCCCAGCATCAGGGAGGCTGAGGCAGGAAGATGGCAGCCAGTTCAAGACCAGCCTAAACTTCCTGAGACCCTGTCTCAAAAAACCAAAACAAACAAGCAAGCAAGCAAATGGTGCCAACTTTGTTCTTCGGCTCTCGTGTCAGGATCACAAGATACCCACCAGACACAACTGGAGTTATGCCCGTACTCTTTTCTGTATGGTCAGAAGGAGGACACTTCTTTCCCAGAAGTTTCTGGTGAGGCTCAGATTGGCTGAAGTCTGCCAAGGTCCTTCCAGAGAGGAAGCAGTCCCTCCCGCTGCAGTCTGGGCAGTGTGGGCCTGCTAGGGCAGGAAGGAGAAAAGAGGACATGCACACGGGGAGGCCATCAGGCATCCTGTCCCTCCTGGCCATCATCGCCGGGTATGTAGTACCATTTGAAGGGCTTTCATTTTCTGTTCCATTTGTTTTTTAAGGTAATGGTCTTTTGCTTCCAAATTTCTTTTTTTCCAGCCTGAAACCTAACATTAGACTTACTGATTTGGGGTAGGGCGGGGATTTCCAGAACACTTGTGCTGTTCTAACCTCATCCACCAATTCCACAGCGGACATTTGGTGAGCGCTGGCTATGACTCAGTCACTCTGCGGTCCTGCCTCAGAGGGTGACACACACGAGCCCCTGGGCACACAGCCTCTCTGTGCCGCTCAGAAGCCAGCGTGGGGGGATTGGAGACGGGACGGGTGTGGTCTGACTTGGATGGGGATGCAGTTTAGGGCCAGGAGTTGCTGGCCTGCTGGGTGAGCCCCTAGCAAGAAGCTTGGTGGTTTTGTTTTATTTTGTCTTTTTGAGACAGGATCTTGCTATGCTGTTCAGGCTGGCCTTGAGCTCACTTTGTAGCCCAGGCTGGCCTCGAACTTGCAACGATCCTCCTGCCTCAGCCTCCCGAGTGCTGGGATTACAGGTGTGCACCACCACACCCAGCAAAGACAATTTTATTAGTCAGTATTCTCCATGAAAGAGAAAAATACTCTGTGTTTTTGGAACCAGGAATCAAACTTAGGACCTTGTGCTTGCTAGACAGGTGCTTATGCCACTGAGCTATATCCCCGGCCCCTGGGTGGTTAATGGTTCTGTGAAACTGAGAAAGCAGAAGAAGGGCTTGGGGTTGCATCTGTGTTGCTGTCTTAGTAACGGCTTCGCAGCTGGGGTCCTGGGCTCTGCTAGGTAAGAAGTTTTTGCAGGGAAGATGGATAGAGTTAGTGTTAATGTCTGATTTTTTTTAAATGGGGGATTAAACCCAGGGCTTTTGTATTTTAGTTACATCTCCAGAATTTTGTTTTGTTTGTTTTGATTTGAGACAGGGTCTTGCTGAGCTGCCCAGTCTGGGCTCAAATTCAAAGTCCTCCTGCCTCAGCCTCCCAGAGCTAGTGGTTCTTGGGAGTGTCTGGGGTTCAGATGCTACGAAGTGTGAGTGAAATCTCTGAAGCCCCCAGGAAGAGCCTTGCCTCCAGCCCAACGAGCTCGCTGCTGTCCTGATCCTGGAACTGCTGCTTGGGCTTCTCAGCGCTTCATGACACAATTCTTTTTTTCCTGCAAGAGTCAGAGAATCCGAGCTTCATAACCCAAATACTGTAGTTCACAGCATGGCATTAGCCTCTATTTAGAGTGCTCTCCCAGGAGGTTCGCTTAACAACGTACATGTCGAACTGTGTCGCACCCAGCCTGTGCTCCAGTTTGGCCAGGCTGAGACAGGTGACCTGAGGCTGCCAGAGCCCTCGGCCTCAGCCGACGCGGGGAGGAACATTCCATTGGGAAATGCCAGGCTGCGCCACGGGGAAGGTCAGGCTCCTGACGACAGTGACCCGTCATTAGCCCCTTTATCAGGACTTTGTCCCTGGAGACTCTGCTACGTGGAGTTTGAACCTGTCCCTTAGCAACTGTGTGATCTTGGGCAATTCTTGAGCTTTTTCCAGCCACATTTCCCAAGTTCGTGAAAAGGGAACAGGAGAACATTTCATTTATATTTCTACTTTTTAATCCTGCTCATTCACTAGAGTGGTGTGAGGGCTAAATACAATAACTGCAGGTAAAATGTTTGGCACAGTGCTTGGTGCCTAGTAACAACACGATGCTAAGGTTTTTGTTTGTTTTTTTCTTTTCTCTCTCTATATTTTGGCGTATGTTTGTGATACATCATCATTACATTCACCCTGGGGAATTGGTACATGCACATACATCTTGCATCTTGATTCAATGCTAAGTATTTATTATTAGTAGTAGTAATATGTAAAAAATCTGGTTTAGTCCCGCAGAATAGGAATTCCTCTCCAGATCACTTGCAGAAAATATTTCACCAGTCCCCCGGAAACCAGGAGGAGCTGGCTGGCCTTCTTGAATGATGGGGTAGGCAGAGGAGTCACACAGTATTCTGACATCAGGGTTATTAAGTGCGTGACAACAACGGCCCTGGCTTCAAGGACACCTCTGTGTGGGTCCAGAAAACTTCTTTCCCTGCTTTAGGGGTTTGCAGGATTTTTTGGTGTGATCATTCAGTTGATCTGCAGAGCCCCAAAGAAGACGTAAGAGTGCCGGCATTCTCTCCATCTTAAAAAAGGTAAACTGAGGCTCGGAGAGATCTCCACACACGCGAACAGGGATTTCCCACGTCTCCCAGAGGACGGTGCAACTGCAGTCATCATAGAGCCAGATGCAGAATCTCTGGCCCAGAGAGGCTTGGGCCAGAGGCCTCAGAATCGCAAACCCCAGCAGAAGCCGACATGAGGAAGTTGTCAGTAGTCCCTTGGCAGGCAGAACGACTGTGCTTCTTACCCTCTTTCCACATCTGGAAGTCTCTGGGGTGCTCTGACAGCCCCCCAATGGGCACACCCGGGAGGCTGGGTGTTGTATCTGAAGCCCTGAGTATAGCCCGGCGGCTTGCACAGATGCTGTGTACCCTTGGGAAAGCCACTCAACCTAACGCCGTACTCCAGGGGCCCTAGTGAAGCATTCGGTAGCAGCAGGGGCTCCGGCTTTGATGCTCCTGAGGATCGCTTTGTGTGCTGGGGGCTAGGGAGAGGCTGGAGACCAGGACTCTGCATTTTGAGGTGTTCTAGATGATTCTGAAGAGCACACACCGGGCAGTGGCTGTCCTGCTGTGCCTCGTGGGCCTCTTGTGTCTTCTAACTGCAAAGTCCCTTTAAGCACGTTCCACGCTGCCCTCGCTGCCAGCCCCATGGGAGACCCTGCGTGTGGTCCCGGGAACATGTGGACATCGCACAGCACCAGGCTAATTTGCTGTGAGCGCTGCCTGTGGGTGGCATCTGGGTTTGGGCCAATTTGGCTTTGGGGCCTGTGTCTTGCGCTCCTGGGGGCGTCCCCTAGCTGGGATCAGACCTGGACTTGCTCCTGAGGGCCTGGGGCCTCCCGGCCACTGTGCTGTGGTCTGCACACCACGCCCTCCACCCTGCGTCCGCAGAGCCCACTGCGACTCCTGACGGCCGCCCTCGTGTCCTCGAGGCTGGCATCCCTCACGTGTGCTTTCCAGTGCAGTGGTGTCGCCAGCTGTCTCGGAGTCACAAAAGGGCCCTGTGTTAATGAGGAGCTGTGGAATGGTAGGGCCAACGCTGCCTTCAGGTCTTCCTTCACAGGTCTCGGGTAGGGGTTCATCCCGGCGTTCTTTGGTTTTCTCCATAGGGAAGAGGTCTCCACGCCTGTGTGGGCGCAGAGGCGGGTGTGCACCAGGCCTCTCCGCGCTGACTCCGATTTGGAACGTGCATGCAGACTCCCTCTGAATGGCAGAGCGAACCAGGGAGCAGGTCCCCCGCAGCCTGCAGGACCTGCCGGGCAGGAAGTAAGACAGTGGCTCAAGGGCATATGCTGGGGGCATGAGCAGGACAGCATGTACCTTGGTGATTGGGGACACGACCATTTGCTCCGTCCCCCGAGGGACAAGGCAGAGGAGGGAGGAATTTGCTTCTTCCTGCCTTGTGGCCGGAGCTGGGACATCTCATCTCCAGCCCAAGGCTGAGATGCATGCTGTCTGCTCCCCCGGCGCGCAGGCACTTGGAGTTGATGGAATCACGCCAGCTTACCGGGGTCTTGAGCTTGCAGGTGGCGGACTGGGGGACTTCTGCGCCTCTATAACCGCATGAACCGATTCTTGGTAGCTTCTATATCCCTATCTATCTGCTGTTGTGATCGCTCAGGACACAGGCAAGGACATGAAGCTCCGTAGAGACCTCCCTTGTTCCAGATGGGGAGGAAATGGGCGGAATGAAGTCCCAGAACAACTCAGGAGAAACGTAGGCCCCACTGCACAAGAAAACATTTCCATTCTGAGCCTCATTCCTGAAAGTGTCTTGCACCAAGAGGACCCTTTCTTGCCAGCAGGCAGGACCGTTCTGAATAAAAGCAGACCCGCTTCTTGGCAGAGCTCAATGGTAATGTCAGAAACGTCTCAGACACCTGCCCTGTATTTCCTTCAGTAGCCAGATGGCTCGCTATGACCAGCAAGCATCCTTGCGGATCTGGCACCCTGGCTGTTGGCCACGACTGCCGGGGGTTAGGGTCTAGCCTCATGCACGGGATGTATCGCAGAGACCCTCTGGATTAGCAAGCTCAGCAGCATGCAAGGAAGAGCCTTAGATCGGGGGCCACACCTTAGAGCCCACTTCTAAGTGATGTCTAAACTCTAGAAAAGTAGAATAAAATGAAAGAGTTAAAGAAAATACTCATTTCTTACCAGGAGGTAGTTGAGTTCTTGCTGTTCAAGCCCGTGATCAGCGCATTTCATTTTAAAATAAATAAATCACTCAATAAACAAACAGAAATCCACCAACCCTTCACTAAATTGCCAGCTGTCATCACACTTACTAGCTGCTGCTAGGTACATGATTCCCTTCTGGAAAACCTGTCATCAGCACTGGCAGGAACATGGGCTGTTCTCGCTTAAATTTATCTGTTAATAGATGGTTTGACTTTTAAGCAGTGGCAATTCAACATAGAAAAGAAATGTGATATTCACAGCCTCCCTTTCTCCCCAGGAAGACAGAATTCTGGTGGGACACACAAGTGTGGGATGGACCGGCCTTTGGAACTGTACAGGTTGATTTTTTTTTTTTTTTTTTTTTTCATTTCAAGTGTGTGTTTGGATGAGAGGGAACAACAAAACCATTCCCGCTAAGGAGGTGGCCCTACTGTGGCTTTGTCTGTCCAGGGCCACCTCCCTGCAGTCTCCCTGGGTGTGACTCGGGCTCTGGGTCACTGATGTTTCCAGGTACCATGGAGCCCATGACCATGACAGCTGGCTAGGGAGTCCTAGCCACAGCGCAGAGATTCTGCGCGGAGCAACTTCAGTGGCCCTAAATGTGGACGGTGGTGTCCAGGGCAGGCCTGAGGCTTGGGGCTGATCCACAAGTTCACTACCTTTGTATTTTCATTTTGGTTTTGAACTCTGTAGCATTTTTCTCAACTGCAGATCTCATGAAGGCTCATCTGGTTGGCTGGGCCTTAATCTGCTCCACACATGATGAGATAGCGGATGTGGCACAAGGTTTGGTGACGTTGGTCCCTGGTGGCTTGAGATGCAGACCACATGAGTGCCATTTCTTGGTGGCCTTTGGCCTATCACACACACACAAAATGACACATACTTTTTTTTTAGGGAATGGTAGCCATGCAACACATACAATTCCCTGAGAACCCATACTGTTTCCTAGGCATTCTTACCAGCATGCAACCCAATGCTAGATAGCCCCTGCCCTCTAGCAAGAAGAAAGAGATTTTTGCTAAAAATACAAATCTGAATTACTGTTGCTTCTCACCTTAGGGTGCTCATGTGCAGGAGCGGGCAGCAGCATGTCCAAGGCACCCTGAGCCACAGCCTAAACGTGGCTCACACCTTCCTGAAATGAAAGATCCCAGGAAGAATAGCTATTGTCAAGAAATCAAATAGTAACAAGTGCTGGCGAGGCTGTGGGGGAGAAAGGAACCTTTCTACAATGCTGGTGGGACTGTAAACCAGTACAGCCACTATGGAAATCACATGGAGATTCCTTAGAGAACTAAAACTAGAAATTCTATTCCACCAAGCTGTTCCTCTCCTACAGAGTTAAGGAAATAATACTGCAGGGATACATGCATAGCCATGTGTACAACAGCATAATTCATAACAGCCAAATCTCAGGAGCAGCCTATGTGTCCATCAGTGGATAAAAGAACAAAGAAAATGTGGTATCTATAGGCAATGGAGTACTACTGTACCATAAAGAAAGAGGAACTTGAATCATTTGTAGGAAATGGAAAGACCTTGAGACCATAATATTAAGTGAAATCAGAGACACAAGCTTAAATATTGCATAGTTTCTCTTATATGAGAAACTCAAAATGTAAATAATCTCAAGAGCAAAATAAAAGATAGGCAACAAAGAGATAGAGCTTTGCATAGCGGAAGAGGATCAAGAAATGGAGGGGGAAGGAGGAGGGAAAAAGAATTACAATGTGTTATGTCCACGTCCCGGTTCCTGGCAGGGATTCCAGTCAGTATGTACCGCGAACATGTACTAGTGAAAATAAAAAGTAACACAAAGACTTGGAGGAAACTTTATTCATTTCAAAAGATTAAAACAACCATAACCCTGTCCTGGAATAGCGTATAAACATCACGTAGCCTACCTTGTCTGTGTGGTGCTGTTAGGTCAGCGCTTGAGATAGCGGAGTTTGTAAAGAACAGGCATTTACCCTGCTCCCGGGCCCCAGGCTGCGTCTGGGGACAGCCTTCTTGAGCATGGCCGAGGCGGCGCTCGGAGGATGGCAGCACCTGTGAGGCGCATGAGCGGACCCAGTCCTCCCGCGATAACTGCTGACCTGGTAGGTCCTGCCTCCTGACGCTGGGGACACAGTTTCCAGCGCGTGAACCTCGGGACACATGTTGAACCTTGGCACCACGCCTCCCGCCCTGCACACCCCCCCTGCTGCACAGGGGCTGCTGCTTAGGGTGAGGGGGAGTTGGGGCGGTGGCAGGGTGGCTGCAGCCCACAGGGTGAGCCCTGCAGAGCCATCCCCAAGGCCGCAGGGTGGGCCTTGGATCGAGGTAGAAACATGGAAGTGCCCGGCGGGGGTGGGGGACACTTTGTCAGCCCCAGCGGCTGTTTATGCTATTTCAGAAATGGGGAGAAGCGTCCTGGGGTTCATACTGGGAGCAGATAGTCTTGGAAGCGGCCCAGGGGCTTCTCAGCCAGGGCTTTGAAGGGCTCAGCTTGCTCCCGCAGGGGCAAGCAGGGGAATTTCCTAGAACAGAAGCGCCCAGGGCCGCTAGCTCTCCGGCCCGCAGGCCTGGCAGGAACCCTGGCGCAACCCTGGCTTTGGTCGGGAACCTGGTGCTGCTTCCTGTCGGGCAGGACAGGAGCGGGTTGCACTGTGGCCGGTGGCTTAGATTTCCTCTGTCCTTGCAGCAGAGAGGGACAGCGCGTGAGGGGGCACAGCCATGAAGTAATGGGAGGTGAGCTTGAGAGGAGGTGGAGGTCACCACGGAGGGTTTCAGATTCACAAAAGCATTTCTGCCTCGGGGCGGGTGGAGCCCTCCCTATGGAGGCCAGTGTAGTTCCAGAAGAGGGAGATGCCCAGGCCTCCGGTTTGTGCTTTTAATTATCCAGTTAGTCCTTGATTTATTGTCATCCGAGTCTAATAAGCTCTCTCTGACCTGTGAGGCCAAATTTTAAAAAACAAAATTTTTTGTTCAAGTTTGTTTGTTGTCACCCTGGGCTGTCTGCCCAGCAGGCTGAGGTAGGACCTCCAGGTCCCACGGGCCCCTGAGGAACTGGGATTACCTATCTTTTCTTCCTGGTTGTTTTGTTTTGTTTTGTTTTTGAGAAAAAATCTTGCTACATAGTTCAGTTTGGCTTCAACTACTGCAATCCTCCTGCCTCAGCCTCTGGATCCTACCTCAGCCTCCGGATTGCCCTTGGTGGGATTACAGGCACACATCACCTCAACTACCCAGTTTCTTCCTTCCTTCGGAACTGTGATCTCAGAACACATGACCGCAGGCACTGGCCCGTCCAGTTAGACTGGAAAACGTTAAGCGCCAACAGCTTATAAACTGTCTAGAGAAAGGTTTCACTAAGGCAGGATCGGGATTCACAAGCCAGGGGCAGGGGAGGAAGTGTGACAGTCACTGGGGTGCTCATCCCATCTTGTCCCTGAAACTCTCGCCAGTGCCCCGGGAGAGCTGGCATGGCACCCCAGGAGGGGCCACCAGGGCTTTGAACCCCAACCTGCAGCGGAGCCTGAGGCTCAGCACATGAGGCCTGGCCTCCATGGGGAGAAACCGGATCCAGAGGCTAACACGCTGCTCTTTGTGCCGCCCCAGGGCCAGGCCTCCTCCTCCCTGGCTGGGCTCTGGCTCCTGGCTTTGTCTCCCCCAACCGCCCAGCACCTGACGGCAGTCGGTTTCCTGTGACTCGCTACCATTATACCCGCCTGGGCTTGTGTTTCCAGATCTCACCAGAGCTGCTCTGCCCCAGCTCCCAGGCAAGACTTTCCACACCGTGCTGCCAGGCCAGCAAGAGAAGAGGCTCAGGTCCGTCCGTGGGCATCTGAGTAATTCATCCACACCAGGTCGCTTCCAAACAACTGCAAGCCATAGATACTGGTCAGCGTCTACAGAGCACACACATCCCACTGCATCGCCCTGGGCTCGAGGGGAGCCCACCAACCCCGACTCCTCTGTGAGGTCACCCTGCCAGGCTTCCTCAAGCTCTGGCCTCCTTCCTGGATCTTCGCACGTTCTAGTGAAAATGTAAGGTCCAGTGGACTGGTCACCCTGTGGGGGACACAAAGTCCCCAGAGAGCACTCTTGAGGAGAGTCACCCAGCTGGGTGTAGTGGCGCATGCCTGTAATCCCAGCACATGGGAGGCTGAGGCAGGAGGATTGCCACAAGATCGAGGCCAGTTTATGCTATATAATGAGTTCAACGCCAATCTGAACTACCCAGGGAGCCTCTCAAAAAAAAAAAAGTCATTCAATGTAGTTCCACCATCCAAGTTAAATTTGGGAATCTGTATATTCTATTAAAATATATATGTATGTATTAACAGTTCTGAGAAGTCATATGAGTATGCCCTTTTCCAACTTTTCCAAATCTAGCTTGATATAGAACATGGAAATCTTTTTTTTTTTTTCAGTTTTGAGAGCATCTCAGGGTATCTCTGGATTCCAGGCTGGACTTGAACTCACAATGTAGCCCAGGCTGGCCTGAAACTTGTGTTGATCCTCCTGCCTCTGCCTCCTGAGTGCTGGGATTACAGGTGTGTGCCACCACACCTACCTGGAACTCTCCATGTAACACGTATTATAGGTCAAGGAACTAATTAATGTCTTTGGAATATATTTTAGGAAATGATCTAACTGGTGTTCCGTCTAGGGAGGTGCCTCAGTCTCGGAGGTATGTGGACATAGGTGGTGGCATTTTTGGCTGTCACACAGATGGGGAGGTGCTGCTTGTGCTTAATGTGGGGCGTGGGGCTGTTAAGCTTCCTGCAGCTTCGGTGTGGCTTGGTCCTAAACCCAGAACTGCCCCTCCCCGAGGCCTCCGAGAACCCAGTGGGGTGTTTTAAAGCCCTCTCTGTCAGTTCAAGCACCTCTTGCTGTCCCCGGCGCCTGACTCCTGGCTTCCCCTTGCTGTCAGGATGCTTTGGGGACCCATGGCCGTGGCCTTGCTGTGGGTCTGGCTCTATGTGGAGCTGACAGAAGCACTAGGGAGGGGCCCCTGTTTCCTTCTACTCCAGAGATCAAAAAAGAGTGTGCAGTGCACGTAGGTGAAGAGGGGTGGAGGGGAAGCTGCTTTCCTTCCTGAAACGGTTGCCCCTCTAGGGAAAAGGGCACCCAGGGCTCAATAATAAAAGAAAACTCCCTAAGTGGGGAGGAGAAGGAAGCCGTCCCAGCACCCACAGCCTGTGCCTCCGTCACTGGCTTCCGTGTGTCCTTGCTTAGGTCACAACGGAAAACGCCCATGGCAACCGGCGAGAGTGTGTTTGAGCAACAAGGTAACTCCTGCTGCCCCAGCCTCCCGCCCTCTGAGCCACGAGAGCTCCGGCGGGCTGAGCCCCATCCCTTCCTCTCCTCTCCCAGCCCAGGAGCACTGGCGCAGACATTGCTTTGGTGCCGGCTCCTCTTCCCCTTCCTCTGCGAGGCAGTGTGAGAAGAGGGGAACTTGATCTTTAGGGCCAAGTCCTGCCAGGTTGGGTGGCGTTCAGTAGCCACATTTGATAGACCAGGACGCTGCACCCCTGCGAGTTGGGATTTCAGGCCGTGCTGGGTTGGGAACCCTGGCGCCGCCCCTCGGCCCCAAGGCCTCCCTCGTTCACCGTGGGTTTTCCTCTTCAAATGCCTACTGAAGCAAAGTTGTGCTGATTTCCGCCTCTGTTAAGAGGGATCACAACAACATGGAGGAAAGTGCAAAAAAACAAAAAAGTCTTTTCAATATTAAAGCCACATCCACCCAGCTCAGCAGAGGCAGCAGGCCCTCGAGGGGAGGGTAACTTTGACTATCTCTTATTAGACGCCAGACATTCAGAGCTGTAGAACTAGATGGTGCTGGGTGGAAACTGTTAAAATTTAAATGTTTGGGGGAGACGCAAATCATTCAGGGAGAAAAAATAACCCCAAAGTTTACAGTTTTGCTGCCCGGGTTTGCAGTTTTACTTCAGCATTCCTGTTTGCTAGGGCAGGCGCCACGTGTGTGTTCTCGTTTCCTCTTTGAACGAGGCTCGTCACCCCGCCAGCCACCTGTCAGCTGGAAACGCACCTTCGGAGCACCGCGGCGGCATCCCTGGACGTCAGGGGACCTAGGGACACATGTCCCCACCTTTGCAGTTTTCCATGACTGCCAGGTATGAGCTGGGGCTGTCTAAAGTGCACAAACTTAACATGTCTTTCCGGGTCATCTCTGCCCCTCTACGCTCACATTTTGTCCATGCCGTGGCCATAACGTGGGCTGGGACTCTGGCACCCAGGATGGTCGCTGTGCTCTCAGCCTGTGAGCTCCTCTGCACCCACAGAGGCACATAGGCCAGGGCCTGGCATGGCCAGATGCAGGGTGGTGGGGTCTCTGGTTTCCACACTGCAGCCCCCTGCCCTCACCTTCTTACTCACTGGAGTCCTGCAAAGAAAACTTCCAAGGCTCAAAACAATTGGTAGGTTTCCACTTCTTCCAATCAAAAGAGCTTGCTTGGCTCACCCTCTCATCTTTCCAGTAATTTAAGAAGCTAATAGTAATAAAATTAGTACTACAAACAATGCAGATATAGCCCACTTGTAAATTAGTACAGCCATACGGAAAATGGTATAGAGGTTCCTCAAAAATCTACAAAGAGTCATCCCAGTACTCTGGAAGCCCAAGACAGGAGGAGTGAAAGTTTGAGCCCAGCCTCTGCAAGTTAGTGACTTAGTGAGACCCTGTCTATAAATAAACAAAGGCCCTGAGTCTAATTCCCAGTACTGGGGAAAAAAATCATAACAATGAAACATATAATTCAGCAGTCCCACTGTTGGTTGTATATCTAAAGGAAATGAAAATAGCACTTTTTTTTTTTTTGAGACAGGGTCTAACTATGTACTTCAGGCTGGCCTTGAACTCACTTTGTAGCCCAGGTTGGCCTCAAACTCACAGTGATCCTCCTGCCTCAGCCTCCCAAGTGCTGGGATTACAGGTGTGCGCCACCACCACACTCAGTGAAAGCAGCATGTTAAAGAGACATCTCCCTTGTTCACTGCAGCACTATTTATAATTATCAGGATATGGAATCAACTTAGGTGAATATCAGTAGGTGAATGGATAAGGAAACTGCTATATATGCACAATGGAATACTTGCAATAGCAAGGATGAGGTCCTGTCATTTACTGCAACAAAAGTAGAACTGAAGGGCATTATGGTAAATGCCTATCTATCTCTATCAGGTTAATAATACCCCTTAGTTATTGCGGGCTGATCAGGCCCACAGTCTCCCGAATGAGTATACAGCAAAGGCTAAATAAAAAGAGGCAAACGGAATGATTTCAAGACTCCATGGGGAACAAAGCCCTCTCACCAAATTTGAGATTCTTTTAGTGCTAAGACCAAGACATTCTTTGGGTGGCCTGCATTTATTTGGTTATCAGAAGAAGGGAGGGGAATACTCAAGAAGGGTGGAATTGCTCAAGGACTACTCCCAGTAAGGTATTAAATTAATCTTTAATGAGGATTAAGTTAATCCACCCAGGAGTGAGGTGCCTGAGGCTATAGTCTTTATCTAATTGAGATTGGATCCAAGCGTCTTTGGCTGTGATCTTGTTTTGTCCTTTGAGGCTTTCTGGCTTCATCCACCATTACAGGTTTTGGGAGTGATTAATGACTCACAGAAGTTCACTTACTATGAGTCCATTACCCACTTCCAGACAAGCCTAGGCTTTGGACAGATTCACAAGTAAACATAAAAAGCCAATTGATTAATTTAAGTGCTGCTTGTGGCTGCTTGATAGTGGTCTTCATCATATCTCTCTGCCTCCCTCTGTCTTTTTCTGTCTCTCTTTTTATTCTGTGCACGCACGTGTGTGTGTGTGTGCGCGCGCATGTGTGCATGTGTGTGTGTGTGTGTGTGTGTGTGTGCATGTGCCCACACTGTGGACCAAACCCAGGGCCTTGGGCATGCTAGGCAAACACTTCACCACAGAGCCACATTCTCAGTCCCAAAAATGATGACCTCAATAGAAAGCTAGGCAAGGTGGTTCGTGCCGGTCATCCCAGCACTCAGAGGGCTCAGTCAGGAGTATGGCTGCAGGTTCAAGGACAGCCTGGACCACATTGTGAGACACTGTTTCAAAAACCAAACCCCAAACCAGACCAAAGCAACAATGAAAAACCAGAAGCAGTGAGTAGAATAGTAGTTACCAGTGGGGGAGGAGAGAGCGGGGGAGGGAAGGAGAGAGGAGCTTAGTGGAAGCAGAAGTGCAGTAGGACAGGAAGAATGATATCTAATGTGTTTTGTTTTGTTTTGTCTTTTGGAGACAGGATCTCACTATGCAGTTCAGGCTGGACTTGAGCTCACTTTATAGCCCAGGCTGGCCTCAAACTCACAATTATCCTCCTGCCCCAGCCTCCTGAGGGCTGAAATTACAGGCATACGCCACCATGCCCGGCTCTAATGTGTTCTTATAACTATGGTTGACAACAATTAATGGAATACTTCAAAATAGCTAGTGGAGAGGATTTCAAATGTTCTAACACAAAGGATAAATGTTTGAGATGATGGATACACCAATTACCCTGATCTGATCATACACATTGCATAAATATTTTGAAATATCTTACTATACCCAGTGTGACCATTAAGGTGGACTGTCAACCCGATTGGCTTGAGAGCCACCCAGGAGATTAGAAAAGTACACTTTTGGGTGTGTCTGGGTGGGTCATAGAGACATGACCTTGGGTACTCTATCTGGTCCTTGGACCCTTTCCTCTCTGGTGCTGTGCCCCTGTTCTGCTTCCCAAGTAACACGAGCAGAAGCAGCTTTGCTCTACCACACCCTTCCACCATGATGTTTCTGCCTTGGAGCCATTCTACTAGGTACTAAACCCTTGGGAACTGTGAGGCAGATTAAACCTCTCCTCTAAGTTGCAAGTGTTGGGTATTTTGTACCAGCAATGGGAAAGCTGACTAATATATTCATAAAGATGTACAATTATTATCTACCAATTAAAAATCTTTATTTATTTATTTATTTATTTATTTATTTTTTTCTGGTATCAGGAATCGAACTCATGACCTTGCGCTTGCCAGGCAGGTACCATGCTGCTGGGCTAAACCCCCAGCCTCTAAAAATCTTATAAACTTTAAAAAAAGGATTAATGTTTGTTCAGCCCACCCTCTCCAGGGCCACTAAGGATTTTCTAGGCAAACATAGGTGTCCCTGGTTAGACCTGCCCTTCCTCTGACTCCTTCCTCTAATTTACATTTGGCCAGTCATTCATTCTCTACCTGGGTTCTGAGCGAGGCAACATTCACACTTTGAAGAGGCTCACAGTCTGTGAGTGCAGGGTTATAGGAGCAGGGCTGGTGCAGGCGTGGCGTGGGGAGGGAGCTGTGTGCACCGCACAGTGGTGACACGAGAATGTGGGGCGTCCTGGTGGGGTGGGAAGGGGCCTCCTTTCCTCACAGCCTGTACTGGCAGCTTCTTTTCTTGGCTTTCCCATAAATGCTGGCTTTCATGCTTCTGGCCTAGAACCACGGGTAACCAAAGCCATATGTGGAACTTGGATTAATTAAATGGTGGCCTCAGCTATATTTGGGGGTCCCTTTCGGATGCTTTTGTGCTGTCATGTCTTTAATATTTGTGACTGTGAGTTGTTTGTTTTATTTAATCCCGTGGCTCAGATTCTATTGGTCTGTAAAGTTTACATGTGGAGAGACTTCTGATCTTGGTTTTTAAAAATAAGGATTGTTTTTGGTTTATTTTATGAGAGGATAGATTTTCTCCTCTAGGGCTGACCAAACAGGGTCTTCAATCGTGATTATTTTCTGGGAGATGACTTTAATCTTAACTGATCTTGGAAAATGGTATGAGAAAAAGATGTGCTATAAACTAAAAATCCTACTCCTGAGTGATCAACCTCAAACTCCAGGCAAGTTCAGTTCCCAGCCGAGCTCCTAACCTGCACGTCCAGTCGCCCGGCGCGGCAGGGAGGAGGGGAACAGAGGCGCCCTACCTAGTGAAAGTCCTCTCGGGCTTGGTTTAGCTCTTGCTCTGCCGGGGGCCGCACCCCATGTTGCCACATCAGTTGGTGGCACTGATGTTGGCGGCACTGATGCCGGCGGCACTGAGTGTTGGTGATGGGCACGCGTGCGCACAGAGCCGGCTGTGCTCTCTGCCGGAGGCCCGGCCTCTTCCCCTCCCTTCCACAAGGATGGGCACCTGGGCAGGTGGCGTCGCGGCAGGTTTGGTCGTGTTAATTTGGGAGTCGAAGGGTGTCACGGTGACGAAGAGCCCCAGTGCCCCGTGCAAGTCCCCACACTGCCGTGCGTCTCCGCTCCTCCTCCGCCGTGTGCGCCGGAACAGTGCCCGTTTCCGAGGCCTGGCGCGCGAAGGGTAGGACTTGGGAGGCGGGGAGCAGAGATTGCCCTTCTGGTCCCCGTCAGTGTTCACTTAGGCTGAGGCAACTTTCAGTCGCACACGCACGCGCTAGATGGGGCATCCAGCATTTCCCCAAGCGGGCGGGGTGGGGCGTGTGCAGACCCTTGTGCGCCCCGACCAGCTGCGCTCTGCAGGGAGCTGGTTTCCCCGGCCCTCCCCAGGCCTGCATCCCCACCTAAGCATTCTTTGCCTCCATCCCCCGGATTGGGCAGATTTTGCCCTGATTTCAAATGAGGAATCAGGACTCGAAGGCATTCTTCTGTGTATTTCTACGGCCCCTGTCCACTCTCCTGGGCGTGGCCACACCCTCAGCACCTCCCTTGCCGAACCCACACCCACTGAGAGCTCAGCTTGGGAAAAAATGAATTCCCACACCCGTCCTCCGGGTTTCCCTTCCTGTCTCTTCCATGTGTGTCTTTCTAATTAAGAGCCCTAAAATTAGCCAGCCAGGTTTGCCTCCTGGGCAGGACTGATGAAATCCAGGTGTCCCTGGATGTCCTAGGGAAGAAGGCCTTGATTTAGCCGCTCAGCACTGTCCTGCTTTTTCTTAGCGCACCAGCCATGCCCTGTTCATCGCGCACATAGCTGGTGAGGCCGATCCCACCCAGCCTCAGGCCCGCACGGACCCAGGCCGAGCCTGGCAACAGCGCGCACTCAGGCTGGATATGGTTCAGGTCCTTCAAATAAGAGTCAGTCCCAGGATTTGTGCCGTAACTTTTGGAAAAGAGGGTCTGGCCTTTTGCGGGACTTGCTGACCATTACAATGTGACCCTGAGCTGCTGGCGTCCCCCTGAAGGCAGGAGGGTCGCACATCGAAGACAGCAGCTCTGAGAGGTTGTGTCGCGTCCTTGAAGGCTCTTCTAGTTCTGTAAGCTGAAGGATGGTCTTTTTGTTTGTTTGTTTTTGCTTTAGTGCATTTGATTTGGGGCGTATTATCTCTTGCAGTTGAAAGAACTGACCACCACAGGCTGAAGTGTCAACTAGTTTCTGGTGATCAAAAGCGATGCATTTCTTAAGGTAGAGGAGAGAAAAAAGAGGCAGGGGAAAGGATAGCAGCAAAAAAACAAAAACAGAAACAGAAACAAAAACCCCAAAACTATGTGCAGAAGCTTGTGTGTAAACTGTTGCCTTCTAGTTGCTTATTTTTCATTAAAACTCTTCTACCCCTTGCGTCTGAGCCGGGCAATCTGTCTCTACTACACTTGGAAGCACACACTCGTGGAAAGGAGATTGAGAGATGTGTTCTGGGCATGAGGAGTTTTTTGGACCGTAGTGAAATTTCTCCCCAGGGCCCCTTCCTTGTGTGAATCCTGCCCGCTCCTGCCGCTCCGTTAAAGCTGTGGGGATTGGCAACCTAAATCGCAGCCCCCAATCTGGAAAATAACCCGTGGAATAAGTGTCCCACCTCCAGAGGTCTTTGAAGCTGCAGGGTGAAGCTGATTTCTGGGGAACAACCATTTTCATGCCCCACCCAAGTGCCAGTGAGAATTAGATTCCGCTTTCAATGACCGCACCCTCCACCCCCAAAGGATTTCATCAAGATAGGAATCTGTTTTCTTCTCAGGTAGACGAAGTCTAGACTTAGGCTCCATGTAGTGCTTGAGAAGTCAGTGTCTTCCTGTCTCACTTTCTCACGGCCACCCCCACCCACATGACACTGTCACCAATGACCCTGGGCCGAGCACAGAGACACGACCAGCAAGGAAGGCTGGAGAAGGCAGCTGCGGCTCTGTGTGCCAGCTAAATAGCACCGCTCATTGCTAAGGAAGCAGGGCGGAATGGATTCTGGGGACACAACGGGTCTCTGCCATAAGAGGTCACCCTATGTGCCGGAGCAAATCCACAGAATAACCTTGATGTTGGTGTTGCCAATGAAGCCTGCTGGGGAAAGGAATAATAATTCCAGATGCATCAGTAAAGACGCCGTCCTGCTGCAAGAGCTAAGGGAGTGGCTTGGGACCCCCAGGGAAAAGCTGCCCCATCAGGATCGTCCCGACCTCGGAGTTCACCATCCTTGGGGCCAGGGCCATGGTCCTGTCTCCATGCCTGTGGAACGGCTGGGCTGGCACTAGGAGCAGGCCTGAGGACAAGCTCAGGAGACTCCCGGGGTGCCAGGGACCAGGTAAGGGTGCTGTGTCCCTACTTCACCCCGGCTCAGCTGGGATTACACAATAGCACCTTTCTTCGCAAAGAACTCAAGTGGGAAGTGTCTCCGGCTGGTCCGGAGGGGCCGTTTGTGAATAAGAGAGCTGTGTGATTCCACAGGGCTGTCTGATCTCCTTCTGCAGCTCAGGAGGACGGAACCGGATCCTGCAAGCACACCTTGGCAGGTCACTAGCAACCATGTGACAGCCTGGAGGGAAGAAACCCAACCGTCCCCTTTCACTGGTTAACACTTACAAAGGGCTGACCTGCTGGTTGGCTGAGGCAATACGAGTGGGGGATGGGGGTAGGCATTCCGGGTGAGAAAAGTCATCATCATCGTCATTGTCATCATTAATTTTTTTTTTTTTTTTTTGGGGCGGGTTTTCCTTTTGCGGTTCGGGTTGGCTTTGACTCACTATGTAGTCTACGCTGGCCTCGAACTCGTGGCAATCCTGCCTCAGCCACCCAAGTGTTGGGATTACAGGTGTGCACCACTACACCCTTCTATCATCATTAAATATTTTCTTTTACCTATCTATTATGTATAAGAGATTGTTCTAGGCACTATGGAGGGTCCGTGATGAAATACACTGTCTCCTCTCAAGGAATTTATAATCTAAGAAAAGAAATACAGCTGGGTGTGGTGGTGCACATCTGTAATCCCAGCACTCAGGAGGCTGAGGCAGGAGGATTGCCATGAGTTCAAGGCCAGCCTGGGCTACATAGTGAGTTCAAGGCCAGTCTGATCTACATAGCAAGACCCTGTCTGAAAGAAAGAAGGAAAGAAAAAAAGAAAGAAAGAAAGAAAGAAAGAAAAGAAAAGAAAAGAAAAGAGTTATTTCAAAATAACTTATTCCATGTCGATTTCCAGAAGCAACACAAAAATCAAGGCTGGATGTCCTGCATCTTTTCTTTTATCAGAATATATTTGTGATGCAAAAACAATTACATTGTTTTTAGGGGATTAGTAGTATAGATCTTGTGCCTTGATCAGTTCTGACTCCTGTTTCCTCCTCTGTTCTCTCCCTTTCCCTCCTTGACTACACAGTGACTTCAAGGCCAGCCTGAGCTGCAGAGTGAGACCCTGCCTCAACAACAATAAAAAAAATTAATGATGACAATGACGATGATGATGACTTTTCTCACCCGGAATGCCTACCCCCATCCCCCACTCGTATTTCCTCAGCCAACCAGCAGGCCAGCCCTTTGTAAGTGTTAACCAGTGGTAACCCTCCCTCCCCGCCCCTTGCCTAACTCCAAAAGGCGGCCTTGCTGTCTGCTGTTGCCCTGGTCTGCTCCCGCATCTGGAGCGTCTCCAGTAGGCGGGATCTGAATGTCCCATCCGTCTGTGTCTCCAGGAAGACATGAGGGGCACGTGCAGCTCCTGTGCAGCGGGGTCCGGGACTCTCGGGGCGAACACTGTTCTTGCAAACCACAGCAGCGGTGCCTCCTGTTGATTCCCTGGCATCCGCTCCCCAGCTGAGCCTTGCCTCAGTTTACCTGCTGTCCAGGGTGAGACAGCTACATCTGTTTCTTCCCCACTCTCGCCTCTGCCCTAGGTGCCTCCGGCAGCACTGAGAGCTGTGAGTCACATGCAGCTTCCCCAGAACTGGTTTTACATCAAATCTTTCTTAGGACCTTGGAGCAAAACAGCTGGCTTCTCAAAATGGCAGTTTGGTTTTGAATTTGAGTTTTGGTGGTTTTTTTTTGAGCCAGGGTTTTGTTATGCAGTTCAGGCTGGCCTTGAGTTCACTTTGTAGCTCAAGTTAGTCTCTAACTCACAACGATCCTCCTGCCTCAGCCTCCTGAGTGCTGGGATTACAGGCGTGCGCCACCACGCCCGGCATGGTTTTGAATTTGAACTTTTCTCAGGAGAAGCAGTGAGTGGGGGACAGTGGACTGGATCAAATGCCTCTGGGAGAGTAAATCCAGATGCTAGGAGCCCCAGGTGAAGGCCGCAGATGTCCAGAGCGGGATCTTCTGCTACCGACGTGGGCCGTTCCTTGGCCCTTGGGCACCCTCATCCTCCATGCTGTGCCTGCTCCAGGGTTGAGCTCCTCCTGCACTCAGAGAACTGTGGCTTCCATCAGTGGGGGCTTCCAAACCATCCACACGGCTGTCTTATTCATCCATGTGCTCACTTGTTTAGTCTGTATGCGATGCTTACGGAGCACTCTCTGCGCCTTCTGGAAATCTTGTCTCTACCTGCTATCAGGGGGGTCTGTATCTGCCTGTCCTTTCCTATACAATGCCTTTCATTCCCGAGGGGGTGGTTTTTGGAATTCAAGCGGATGTTATTCAGAATCTTCTCCGCTAGCAGCACTGCTGTTCCTGGGGGAGGCACCTACTTCTCTGCAGAAGCCCTGTGTGTCCTTGGCCAGGTCTCCTTGCACATCCTCGCGGCACGCACAGGGACGGACAGCATCTTTGCACAGCCCCGGATGTCCTGCGGGAAATCAGAGACGCTGGGGCTCTAACTAACAAAGACCCTTTGTGTCAGTGGGGCTGAGTCACCTGACGCTGAAATGTAACTTCCTGCTCCGGGGCTAAGGGAAAGGAACCTGAAAGGCTAGACCTCTGGGTCAAGATGAAGATAAGGGTCAGGAGGAAGAGAAGTAAAGTTTTGTACTTAGTCGGGAAAGGAGAGAACCGGTGAAGGCAGCAGGGAAGGCGTTTGATGACGTTGCTGCAGGGAACGGACTCAGATTCCAGTTGGGGGCAAGCTCCGAGGGACCTAAGAGCTGAAGGGGAGCGGCCAGCGACTACGTGACCAGGTCCCGGGTGTCTAGAAGGGAGAGGGGAGCCCCTGGGTTGCCACCGTCAGGCCACATCTGAAACCTTAGGCTTGGTTCTGGGTCCACACAGCACGGGATGCCCAGCGGAGGCTGGTGCGAGCGTGGAGACCGCAGCACACGAGACACCATCACGTCCAGTCGATACAGATGGTTTACACTGCGCTGGGACCACCTTCTTCCCGGCTCTGCAGGGGGACGGAAAAGGGAGTGTGGAAAAGAGCTGCAGTGGAGACGGGCTGCAGAGCAGCACAGCTTCTGGGTCCTCCGTCCCTGAATTCCGCCTGCATCGTCCTCTGTCCCGCCCAGTCCTCCTGGCTCACGAAGAATCGTTCTTTCTCCTTCCACAGGCTGACCTCATCCCCTCCCATCTCCCGTAGGATATGCTGACAATTGCCACCTCCTCCAGAATCTTCCATTTTTCTTCCTTTCCATCAGCTGCAAATATGAAGGAGTTGATGATTGTGGTACTTATGTTCCAGGTGCATAGTGATCAGTCTGTCTTATCTTTTTTTTTTGTACTGGGGATTGAATCTAGGACCTTCACACTAAGCTACCTTTTTCATTTTTTAATCCTGAGACAGGATCTCACTAAGTCACCTTGTTGCCCAGGCTGGGCTCAAACTTGGGATCCTCCTGGAGAGCTGAGATGACAGGCATATACC